CGGAAACCCTCATTAATATAAAAAAAGAAAGCGAACTCGTTTTAGCGTTGAGGCAGTACCTAGGTGAACAAAGGAAGCGCGTGTTGCGCATTACCCGACAACTTATGAACACTAACACGCGGGGGGGGGGGGGGGGTGGGGGGTGGGGTGGGGGGGGGGGTTGCAAGATACCAGTCCCGACAAGCGGCGGGGACTCACAGCTCTTTAGGATAATAGACCACAAAGTGATACTTTTGTCGGTAAGATTTCGAGTCGACTTTGAGAGGTCGGCAGGGACGAGGAGACGGGGTGGGAAGGAAGACGAGGGTAAAGGGAGGGGTTAATGGGTAAGGAAGGGAGGGACAAGGGATAGGGAGGACAGGGCAGAGTTTTGAAACAAATATTAAGTTCATTATATAACGACTACCTAGGCTTCAGATCGCCTGATGTAGGATAACAATTGTTAGTTTGTAGTCTCAGTCTGTGATATTCCTAATGAACCCTTGTCTTAGTGTAAATAAGAAAGGGGTTGAGAGAGAGAGAGAGAGAGAGAGAGAGAGAGAGAGAGAGAGAGAGAGAGAGAGAGAGAGAGAGAGAGAGAGAGAGAGAGAGAGAGAGAGAGAGAGAGAGAGTGAGTGTGTGTGTGTGAGTGTATAGATCAATAAACCCTTAACCTTAAGACACTTCTCTACGAGGCCAACAGAAAACTTTCTCTCAAAGTGCCGTACAAGATGATGGCAAGAGCGCGTGGCAACGCCGGCAGCGTTGCCACACGCAAGTCAGGCCTGCCAACAGCACCAACAAAACACTCACAGTTGCTGGAAACTGTAAAACAACGACTGTTCCACTTTCTATCATTGGAACAGTGGAAAAAACACTTATCTTTCTCAAATTGTTGCTTCAGTCGAGTCTAATGGTCATTCAGAGCTGGCGAGGGCAGGACATCTGGGTTACAGTCTTGACAAGCACGCAAGAACGCCAAGGACGTGAGGGTTGAGCTCTAGCTCTTTGGTCCCGCCTCTCAACCGTCAGTCTACTGGTGTACAGATTCCTGAGCTGCCCCAGCAACACCAGTAGCTGCCCCAGCAACACCAGTAGCTGCCCCAGCAACACCAGTAGCTGCCCCAGCAACACCAGTAGCTGCCCCAGCAACACCAGTAGCTGCCCCAGCAACACCGGTAGCTGCCCCAGCAACACCAGTAACTGCCCCAGCAACACCAGTAGCTGCCCCAGCAACACCAGTAGCTGCCCCAGCAACACCAGTAGCTGCCCCAGCAACACCGGTAGCTGCCCCAGCAACACCGGTAGCTGCCCCAGCAACACCAGTAGCTGCCCCAGCAACACCAGTAGCTGCCCCAGCAACACCAGTAGCTGCCCCAGCAACACCAGTAGCTGCCCCAGCAACACCAGTAGCTGCCCCAGCAACACCGGTAGCTGCCCCAGCAACACCAGTAACTGCCCCAGCAACACCAGTAGCTGCCCCAGCAACACCAGTAGCTGCCCCAGCAACACCAGTAGCTGCCCCAGCAACACCAGTAGCTGCCCCAGCAACACCAGTAGCTGCCCCAGCAACACCAGTAGCTGCCCCAGCAACACCAGTAGCTGCCCCAGCAACACCAGTAGCTGCCCAGCAACACCAGTAGCTGCCCCAGCAACACCAGTAGCTGCCCCAGCAACACCAGTAGCTGCCCCAGCAACACCAGTAACTGCCCCAGCAACACCAGTAGCTGCCCCAGCAACACCAGTAGCTGCCCCAGCAACACCGGTAGCTCTACTTACGGAACATGTGGTGTGGATGAGCGGGTCTGGCAGCAGAACACACAAACATACGTCCCAAACATACGCAACGTGTGTGTGTGTGTGTGTGTGTGTGTGTGTGTGTGTGTGTGTGTGTGTGTGTGTGTGTGTGTGTGTGTGTGTGTGTGTGTGTGTGTGTGTGTGTGTGTGAGTCAACAGAGCAGGCAGGGAGGGGGGGGGGTTGAGGTGATGGGGGGAGGGTGGGGGGCAGAGAGGGTGGGGGGGAGAGTACAGACGGGGAAAGAGGAGATTACAGCAAACAAATGCTGTAACTTCAACGAGAAATTCTCTACATTCCGACGTGATTCTGTGTAAATTCTGTTGAGTGTGTGAGGGGAAGAAGAGCGGGTGAGGGGGGGGGGGGGGAGGGGGGAGTAGTATAAAAAGAGGGGGGGAAGGCAATAGTGGGGGAAAAGTATCCTCCCCTCTTCTAAGAGAAGCCATAGAGGAGATGCTGTTAGGATGTTGTTGTTTACGATTCGCTACTGGGAACAGAAAGTTCCAAGCAGCACGGGCTATGGTGAGCCCGTAGTGGATAGCAACTGCCTACCACTCAGCTATGGTGCTGGAGTACAGGGGGGAGTTGAAGGATGAGAGATTATACATGTGGGGGAACTACAGTAAGTTGGAGGACACACACACACTTACACCCACACACCCAACCACACACCTGCTAACGCCATCACAGGAGCAGCCAACTAACACCTTCCTCTACGTGTTCCAGGCCTTCACCAACACGGGCACCAACCTGCAGCTGTCCTTCACACCTGTCCCGGGCGGCTATTCCCCGGACGTCGACTTCAATAAAGAACCGGGAAAGGTAAGCTCACGTGTCCTACTAATTGATGACAGGTGTTCACGTGTCCTACTAATTGATGACAGGTGTTCATGTGTCCTACTAATTGATGACAAGTGCTCATGTGTCCTACTAATTGATGACAGGTGCTCATGTATCCTACTAATTGATGACAGGTGTTCACGTGTCCTACTAATTGATGACAGGTGCTCACGTGTCCTACTAATTGATGACAGGTGTTCATGTGTCCTACTAATTGATGACAGGTGCTCATGTGTCCAACTAATTGATGACAGGTGTTCACGTGTCCTACTAATTGATGACAGGTGCTCATGTGTCCTACTAATTGATGACAGGTGCTCACGTGTCCTACTAATTGATGACAGGTGTTCACGTGTCCTACTAATTGATGACAGGTGCTCATGTGTCCAACTAATTGATGACAGGTGTTCACGTGTCCTACTAATTGATGACAGGTGTTCACGTGTCCTACTAATTGATGACAAGTGCTCACGTGTCCTACTAATTGATGACAGGTGTTCACGTGTCCTACTAATTGATGACAGGTGCTCATGTGTCCTACTAAACTGATGACAGGTATCGCCCGCCTGGGTGTGCTATCGTATACTGAGGATAACAGGATTATATCGCGTCGTGCACAAATCCAAACACCATCCTACCCATTATCAGGAGAAAGCGCCAAGCCACTATAGTCGTAATGGCTTGGCGCTTTCTCCTGATAATTCCCCTCCAGCCCCGCCTCGTTAATTTCAACTCTCCCGCGTACTTACCTATTGGTACTTAGTTGAGCGAGCTTGCAGGGTCGTGCTTCGGCTCCTGGGCCCTGCCTTAATACGACTCTCGGTCGGCGGTCGTCCTATAAATCTTGGTCCTCTACGATGTTATTTTTTGAAAGCACCCAACTACTTGGAATGGATGGCACAGTGGAGGCCTCGCTTCTTGCAAGGTCCTCGTTCGATTCCCGACGGTGCAAAGTGGTTAGGCATCATTCCTTCCCCTCTGTCCTATCCCAGATCCTTGTTTTCATGTCCTAGCTCCTTGTTCACATATCCCAGCTTCTTGTCTTCATGTCCCAGTTCCTTGTTCACATATCCCAGCTCCTTGTCCACATATCCCAGCTCCATGTCCCCCCCCCCACTCACAGTGAGAAATGATGTTCTTAATGCCTCTATGGCTCCTCTGAATGTGTGCTGGGTCTTGATTGGCTAAACGCTCTTCCAGAAGCCTCCAGTCATCTCTTCTGGCACCCGTAAGATAACGCAAGTTATCTTACAGGTGTCAGATATGGGTTGGTAAATGCTAATCTTCTTGCTTAAATCTTACGTGGTACTCCCAGTCATACATAGCTGAGGTGCGCAGTCCCGCAACAGTCACTCACCTCCTTGAGGTGCTTCCTTGAGGTGCTTCCGGGGCTTAGTGTCCCCGCGGCCCCGTCGTCGACCAGGCCTCAGCTATAAATGTATTGCTCGGGTTTAAGGGTTACCTTGAGGTTATCTACCTTGAGGTGCTTCCGGGGCTTAGCGTCCCCGCGGCCCGGTCGTCGACCAGGCCTCCTGGTCGACGTGAAATGGTTAGTGAAATGTTCATTTGGGATAGGTTAGGTGAGGCCCAGATGTGTCTGGGTTCAAGTGACAGGATGAACAACCCAGCGTGTGTTCTTGTTGTGGGGGGGGGGGGGGCTATTAATGCGGTGAGTTCACTCACAGGATGAGTGACGCTGCCCAATAAACTCGCCCCTCGGGGCAAAACTGAAAACTTTGGATTCTAAAGATCTATGATATATTTTAAATTAATACTTTCAATCACTCTATAGACTTTACTGATGACCTAGAGAGAGTACCTACCACCAGCTCACCTGCCAAGCACAATACTAGGTGAGTATGGGGGCGATGTATATATTCATCTAGTTGTGCTTGCGGGGGTTGAGCTCTGGCTCTTTGGACCCGCCTCTCAACTGTCAATCAACTGGTGTACAGATTCCTGAGCCTACTGGGCTCTATCATATCTACATTTGAAACTGTGTATGGAGTCAGCCTCCACCACATCACTGCCTAATGCATTCCATTTATTAACTACTCTGACACTGAAAAAATTCTTTCTAACGTCTCTGTGGCTCATCTGGGTACTAAGTTTCCACCTGTGTCCCCTTGTTCGTGTCCCACCCGTGCTGAAGAGTTTGTCTTTGTTCACCCTGTCAATTCCCCTGAGAATTTTGTATGTGGTTATCATGTCTTCCCTTACTCTTCTGTTTTCCAGGGATGTGAGGTTCAGCTCCTTTAGCCTTTCCTCGTAGCTCATACCTCTCAGTTCCGGGACGAGCCTGGTGGCATACTGCTGAATCTTCTCCAAATTTGTCTTGTGTTTAACTAGATAGGACTCCAGGCAGGAGCTGCATACTCCAGGATTGGTCTGACATAAGTGGTATACAGGGTCCTGAAAAATTCCTTACACAGGTTTCTAAAGGCAATTCTTATGTGTTTGTACTTTTTTGTACTTATCTAATTGTGCTTGCGGGGGTTCAGCTTTGGCTCTTTGGTCCCGCCATGTACATTGTGTGTGTGTGTACTTGTACGTATGTACGTATTAACGTACACGTCTATGTTCTAACGCATCTGGATAGAGCACACGTTTTATAGACTATAAAAATGGCTTTTATTAGGTAGCAATCAATTTTACTACTGCCTTAATTACCAGTGGCAGCGTTTGTTGGTGCCGAGCACCCGCTCACAGTGAGCTCCCAGCTCTCACCACTGTGTTCTCCCGTGTGTGTGTGTGTGTGTGTGTGTGTGTGTGTATTTACCTAGTTGTATTTACCTATTTGTGCTTGCGGGGGTTGAGCTCTGCTCTTTCGGCACGCCTCTCAACTGCCAATCAACCGTGTCTAACTACTACTATTTTTTTTCCACTCTACACACACATCAGGAAGCAGCCCGTGACAGCTGACTAACTCCCAGGTACCTATTTACTGCTAGGTAACAGGGCCATAGAGAATATTTTAAACTGCACCACCTTCTGTGTTCATTATATCTATGCAACACACTAGCGGGCTGACCGTCCCTATGGTTATCTTGAGGTTATCTTGAGGTTATCTTGAGATGATTTCGGGGCTTTTTAGTGTCCTCGCGGCCCGGTCCTCGACCAGGCCTCCACCCCCCAGGAAGCAGCCCGTGACAGCTGACTAACACCCAGGTACCTATTTTACTGCTAGGTAACAGGGGCATAGGGTGAAAAGACTTTGCCCATTGTTTCTCGCCGGCGCCCGGGATCGAACCCGGGACCACAGGATCACAAGTCCAGCGTGCTGTCCGCTCGGCCGACCGGCTCCCTGGTGACCTAGTGTCTGGATATTGACATTTTTTTCCTAACCCGTAGGAGTCTATGACCCGGATTCACGAAGCAGTTACGCAAGCACTCACGAACCCGTACATCTTTTCTCAATCTTTGGCGGCTTTGTTTACAATTATTAAACAGTTAATGAGCTCCGAAGCACCAGGAGGCTGTTTATAACAATAAAAACAGTTGATTGGTAAGTTTTCATGCTTGTAAACTGTTTAATAAATGTAACCAAAGCCGTCAAAGATTGAGAAAAGATGTACAGGTTCGTGAGTGCTTGCGTAACTGCTTCGTGAATCTGGCGTCATTAAACCCATACTTAGTGTCCAGCGCCTACAATTCCATTCCTCCTCCCCCTCTTCAAAGCCAAGCTCCACTTGGGCTGGACGGTTGAGCGACGGTCTTGCTTCATGCAGGTCGGCGTTCAATCCCCCGACCGTTCAAGTGGTTGAGCACCATTCCTTTTCCCCCCCGTCCCATCCCAAATCCTTATCCTGACCCCTTCCAAGTGCTATATAGTCGTAATGGCTTGGCGCTTTCCCCCCCTTCCCTTCTCCAAAGCCAACAGGTAAGGTGGTCAAGCGACCTGAAAAGACGCCCCACCTCCATACCTCTCCTCACCTCTCCTCACCTCTCCATGTAACCAGTAAGAATATTAAAATCTAATTTTGCAGGCGATGAGTCACAATACCGTGGCTGAAGAATGTTGACCAGACCACACACTAGAAGGTGAAGGGACGACGACGTTTCGGTCCGTCCTGGACCATTCTCAAGTCGACTTGAGAATGGTCCAGGACGGACCGAAACGTCGTCGTCCCTTCACCTTCTAGTGTGTGGTCTGGTCAACAAAATCTAATTTTCACCGCCTGTCTTCCGGTCCCCCAACCCCGACTCCAAACGGCATGTATGTCTTCATAACACTATGGCCAAGTTGAAGTCAGTTTAGTGGGGTGATAAGATACACCCAAAGAGGATAGAACAGCTTAGGCTATTTCTATCCCCCCCCTAGACTTTATTTTTTTTTGTTGGGGCTGTGTAGGTGGTAGCTGCTCTTTGTGGTTCAGCAGACAACTCAACAGTCAGGTATATGGGTCAGCAGACAACTCAACAGTCAGGTATATGGGTCAGCAGACAACTCAACAATCAGGTATATGGTTTAACAGCTAGGTACTCAAATTATCAGGTATATTGGTAAACAGACATGTGTAATGAAGGTCAGATATATTATATATGTGGTAACAGAAAGACGGGTACACAGCCAGGGGCAACAGACAGACAGACGGGTACACAGCCAGGGGGGCAACAGACAGACAGACGGGTACACAGCCAGGGGCAACAGACAGACGGGTACACAGCCAGGGGGGCAACAGACAGACGGGTACACAGCCAGGGGCAACAGACAGACGGGTACACAGCCAGGGGCAACAGACAGACGGGTACACAGCCAGGGGGGCAACAGACAGACAGACGGGTACACAGCCAGGGACAACAGACAGACGGGTACACAGCCAGGGGCAACAGACAGACGGGTACACAGCCAGGGGCAACAGACAGACAGACGTTTGTATAAACAGACGGGCAGCTGGGGGTAAACAAGCGAACAGAGGCGGGCCAGACAGGCGCAGACACAAGGACACGGCGACAGAGGACTTTTCTTTCAATAGACAGAGCGTCTTCAGGGAAAAAAATGTGAGCCATTGATTGTCAGGGGTGAATAGGTATTCTGAACATTTCAAAAGTCCTCCAGCGGGCCTTTGACTGGTGGGCGTGGCGAGGGCGTGGCGAGGGCGTGGCGCCACCAGCACGTGGGCGTGGCTGTCCTCAGGCCTCGCGCAGGGGTGCCACGCCACACGACACGTTCTCCCATACACGACTTTATCCTAAACCACTCCACAGCAATAAATTGCAAAACGGACATTCAAATCAAGTATAAAAAGTGTGATTCCACGCGAAATTAAGTGGAAGTGACGTTATGAGAGCCGTGTAGGAGGTGAAGAGTAGTGGCGGCGCGCCCCCGGGCAGGTGGCAGCACTGGCGGCCGGGTTCCCGCCATACCTGTGGCGCCTTTTCCAACTCACAACTTAAAAGAACAAAAAATCCCTGTCGACTTTGTAACGTTCTTTGACGGAGTAATTGGTGTGGGAAAAGTTTGTTGGGTCCAGCGTCAACAACGCTTGGCGGAGGCTTTTGTTGATGTTGTGAACTTATGAGGGAGGGGGGGAGAGAGGGAGGGGGGGGGGGAGGGGGGGAGAAGGGAGGGGGGGGAGAGAGGGAGGGGGGGAGAGAGGGAGGGGGGGGGAGAGAGGGAGGGGGGGAGGGAGGGAGGAAAGATGAGGGAGGGAGGAAGAGCAAGAAAATAAAAAGATAGGGAGACAATGGGAAAAGTCGGGAAAGTCATTGACTCTTAACCACACACAGGTCGTGGGTTAAGTTCCAGCGAAGGAACGGAAGCATTTGGGCAATGTTTTCCTTTACCTGATGCCTCTATTCACCTAAAAGTAACTAGGTTCCTGGGAGTGACACAGCTGCTACGGGCATCAACGTGTGGATGTGTCTGTATGCTCAGTTAGTTGTTGTGCTTGCGGGGGTTGAGCTCTGGCTCTTTGGTCCCGCCTCTCAACTGTCAATCAACTGGTGTACAGATTCCTGAGCCTACTGGGCTCTATCATATCTACACTTGAAACTGTGTATGGAGTCAGCCTCCACCACATCACTGCCTAGTGCATTCCATCCGTTAACTACTCTGACACTGAACAAAGATATTTCTAATGTACCTGTGGCTCATTTGGGTACTCAGTTTCCACCTGTGTCCCCTTGTGTTAATTAAAATGTCTTTATCTACCCCCTATCAATCCCTGTGAGTGTGTGTGTGTGTGTATTCACCTAGTTGTATTCACCTAGTTGTGTTTGCGGGGGTTGAACTTTGCTCTTTCGGCCCGCCTCTCAACTGTCAATTAACTGTTTACTAACTACTTTTTTTTCCACACCACACACACACGCACACACACACACACACACACACACACACACACACACACACACACACACACACACACACACACACACACACACACACACACACACACACACACACCCCAGGAAGCAGCCCGTGACAGCTGACTAACTCTCAGGTACCTATTTACTGCTAGGTAACAGGGGCATTCAGGGTGAAAGAAACTTTGCCCATTTGTTTCTGCCTGGTGAGGGAATCAAACCCGCGCCACAGAATTACGAGTCCTGCGCGCTATCCACCAGGCTACGAGGCCCCAGTCCTCGTGTGTGTGTGTGTGTGTGTGTGTGTGTGTGTGTGTGTGTGTGTGTGTGTTTATTTACTATTTGTATCTGCAGAATCGAGCTATTAGTTCTTGGACCCCGCCTTTCTAACCAATCTATTTTTCCTCCATTGTGTTTACTACATATATTTGTCTCTAACACACACACACACACATCCAAGAAGCAGCCCGTAGCAGCTGTCTAACTCCCAGGTACCTACTTACTGCTAGGTGAACAGGCCCATTAGGTTAAAAGAAACCGCTATTTTTTTATATAGCAGAGTTTTACAAAGACAAATCTCATTCACTGCCATGTATATTTGTCTGGGATACAAATATACATGAGGATTCGGGATGGATACAACAGTTGAGCAGCGGAGTTGCAGAATCTGTGATGAGAGTGACGGACACTGCCTTGACCACTGCCTAGGAGACTGTGAACATCTAAGAGACATTAGAAGATTGTGTAGCATAGTAAACCCCACATTGTTTGAGTTAGGAAAACACTACTTGTCAAATATTGATACTGTTCTTAAAAGATTCCCCATTTTGCACCCGTAAGATAATGTAAGAGTTTAAGGGTTGACAAATGTTAATCTTCTTGTTTGAGGAGCTGTTCACTTGAGACAGTTAAGCAAGTCCCAGCTGTGTCTGGGTACAAGTGACAGGATGAACAACCCAGCGGGTTTTCTTCCTATTGGGGAGTGTTGTACATGCTGCTATGGCGGCGTGTCCACTCACAGGATGAGTGGTGGTGCCCAATACTGTCACTATGGCGGTGTGTCCACTCACAAGATGAGTGGTGGTGCCCAATACTGTCACTATGGCGGTGTGTCCACTCACAAGATGAGTGGTGGTGCCCAATACTGTCACTATGGCGGTGTGTCCACTCACAGGATGAGTGGCGCTACCCAATACTGTCACTATGGCGGTGTGTCCACTCACAGGATGAGTGGCGCTACCCAATACTGTCACTTTGGCGGTGTGTCCACTCACAGGAAGAGTGGCGCTACCCAATACTGTCACTATGGCGGTGTGTCCACTCACAGGATGAGTGGCGCTACCCAATACTGTTACTTTGGCGGTGTGTCCACTCACAGGATGAGTGGCGCTACCCAATACTGTCACTATGGCGGTGTGTCCACTCACAGGATGAGTGACGCTGCCCAATACTGTCACTATGGCGGTGTGTCCACTCACAGGACGAGTGGCGCTGCCCAATACTGTCACTATGGCGGTGTGCCCACTCACAGGATGAGTGACGCTGCCCAATACTGTCACTATGGCGGTGTGTCCACTCACAGGACGAGTGACGCTGCCCAATACTGTCACTATGGCGGTGTGTCCACTCACAGGATGAGTGGCGCTGCCCAATACTGTCACTATGGCGGTGTGTCCACTCACAGGACGAGTGACGCTGCCCAATACTGTCACTATGGCGGTGTGTCCACTCACAGGATGAGTGGCGCTACCCAATACTGTCACTATGGCGGTGTGTTCACTCACAGGATGAGTGGCGCTGCCCAATACTGTCACTATGGCGGTGTGTTCACTCACAGGATGAGTGGCGCTGCCCAATACTGTCACTATGGCGGTGTGTCCACTCACAGGATGAGTGGCGCTGCCCAATACTGTCACTATGGCGGTGTGTCCACTCACAGGATGAGTGGCGCTGCCCAATAAACTCGCCCCTCGGGGCAAAATATAACTTTAATATCTCACGCTAAATCTCCCTACTAAGTGACATCAGTCACTGGATGAATCCAAGATAAGCTGAACATAGCACAGTGCCCCATCTCTGCCCCCGACTCCCCCTCCCCCCATCACCCCTCCCCGGGCCAAGTCACCCTTCCCAGCCACCCTTTACCACTCCCCTCACCCCTCCCAACTTCCCCTCGCCCATCACAAGGAACAAGGGGAGCCGACGCCAAACACACACTCGTGTTTACATGTTTCAAATCACAAATGATACACCTTGCGGCCCACCCTCCTCCTCTCCTGCTGGCTGGCTGGCTGTGTTGTACAGCGGTACGTCTATGGTACACAGGTGGTACCCTTGTGGTACATCGGTGTTAGGCTCATGGTAACTTGGTGGTACGCAGGTGGTGGGTGAAGGTACACTGGTGGAGCATTTGACCCGCCCGTAGTGTACTAGATATGAAGGCCTGGTTGATACCTGGTTGATGGGGTTCTAATTCTTCTACTCCCCAAGCCCGGCCCGAGGCCAGGCTTGACTTGTGAGAGTTTGGTCCACCAGGCTGTTGCTTGGAGCGGCCCGCAGGGCCACCACAGCCCGGTTGGTCCGGCACTTCTTGGAGAAAATGATCTAGTTTTGATAATGATCGACCTACAGCAGCTCTTACTCCAGACAGGAGGTGAGATTACTGTCCTTGTCCAATTATACTCAAATGTATTTATCTAGTTTATCTAGTTGTGCTTGCGGGGGTTGAGCTCTGGCTCTTTGGTCCCGCCTCTCAACTGTCAATCTACTGGTGTTCAAATTCCTTAGCCTACTGGGCTCCATCATATCTACATTTGAAACTGTGTATGGAGTCAGCCTCCACCACATCACTGCCTAATGCATTCCATTTGTTTACTACTCTGACCCTGAAAAAGTTCTTTCTAATGTCTCTGTGACTCATTTGGGAATTCAATTTCCACCTGTGTCTCCTTGTGCGAGTACCACCCTTACAAAATAGTCTGTTTTTTGTTCTACCGTATCAATTCCTTTGAGAATTTTGTATGTGGTAATCATGTCTCCCCTAACACTTATGTCTTCAATCGACATGAGGTTCAATTTATGTAACCTTTCCTAGTAACTCATACTTCGCAGTCCTTGCTCTATTCTGGTGGCATAGCTTCTCCAACTTTGTCTTACGCTTAACTACATAAGGACTCCAAGTTGGAGCTACATACTACAGTATTAAGTGTGTGTCCAGGTCAGTGTAGCCTCCTTCTTGAATCATCTTGAGTTAATCCCCTGTCTTGCTAATGCTAATCTTGCTAATCTCCTGTCTTGATCCTTTTTATAATTTTTCATCAGTCATCATTGAGAGAAACGAGTCTATTCTCTCATAAATGATTATTTACATGTATGAGAAACAGCATAGGTCCGAGGACTGAACCTTGAGGGACTCCGCTTGTGATAATCTCACCCGTGACAGTATTGACTCTCTGTCTTCTGTTGCTTAGGTACGTCCGTGTGCGTGCGTGCGTGCGAGCGTGTAATAATAACCAGCCTTTATACCAAGCCAGTATTTACCCTGTGCTTCAGTGTTGCCAACCCGGGCACGTTTGTTGTCATTCTCCTCGGTGTTGCCATCACCGAGATCACAGACATCGTCGCCACACCATACAATCACCTCTTTGTTTACGACCGTCGTTGATTGTACCCAAGCCAAACAGTCGACGTAATCATTACTATACAATTACACCACTCGTTGCAAACCACCCAGTTCGGCATGTCAGCCGCTGATTGGTGGAGACAGCCGGCAAGCTGACCAATCCCGGATATCGGTGGTTAAGAAGGCGTCTTGTCCCCATTGGTTCCCACAATCAAGTCTTTTTAAGATCGCCTGCTGTTCTCCTGTTATTTATCTGTTCCTCGTGGCACCTCTACTCTTGCCTGCTCTGTTTCCAACAGTATTGTGGCGTGCTTCGGTGCTCAACGGTCCTGTTGTGTTGTGTTCATAACTATCTACGGGCTCACCATAGCCCGTGTTACTTGGAACTTTTTGTTCCATGTAGCGAATCTTTAACAACAACAACAACGGTCCTGTTGTCTGTTCCCAACGGTCCTGTTGTGTACTTTGAACAAAGGCAACAACAATTCCGAACACTGCCTCATGTATAATGACATTGTTAAGACACTGACTCCTTGAATAAGACCACTGACGGCCACTGGGTAATGGACAGTGTCTGAAGGAGCAAATGACTCCGAGGTACCGTCTCCAAGTATCCGTCTGCTGGCTCTGTTATCCGTCTCACTGAGGGAGGAATTCTTGATTACCCGTCTCAATAGGAGGAGACAATTCCCCCCCCCCTCTCATTTTCCCCCTCTCACTAGGGGGAAACAGTTTTAATTCCCTCCCCTTTTGTTTTCATTCCATTGGAGTGAAAATTTTAAACTCAGTTTCTCTCAAAAGGTTGACAATTTGTCTACTCACCGGGGGACTAATTTCCCCCCAGGGAAGGGGGTTAGGGGGGGTGATGGGGTAATAGGGGGGAGATGAGGAGGGGGGTTTCTCCCCCCTTGTAGTCCTGGTAATTTTATGAACACAAGCACAAATTACCTCAATAGCAGGTCTCTCACTCCCGTCCGTAAATTCCTGTAGTTTGCATTAACGGGAATAATGACAAATGGTGAGGGGGGAGGGGGGAGGGGGGAAGGGAGGGGTGTGATGGGGGGATTTGAGTGGAGGGGGGAGGGGGGAGGGTAAGGATATGGGGGGGAAGGGAAGGGTGGGGGGAGGGTAGGGATATGGGGGGGAAGGGAAGGGGGGGAAGGGAAGGGGGGAGGGTAGGGATATGGGGGGGGGAAGGGAAGGGGGGAGGGTAGGAATATGGGGGGGAAGGGAAGGGGGGGGGAGGTTTGAAGTCTATGTTCTCATAAAGCTGAAGGGCGAGCCCGGGTGTGCATTCACGTATTAGTGAGCCCGCAGGGTTGAGCTCTAGTACTTTAATGTTGTCATGCAATCATGCCTGTTGTATTATACAACTCCGCCCGACCTTATTGTATCCAAACATATTTATACTTTTGAACTGGTGAATTGTTTTTGGCCTCTACAATATTCTCGTTTCTTTCCTTCTATTTCCTTTCCCCTTGGGCTGGACGGTAGAGTGACGGTCTTACTTCTTCCAGGTCGGCGTTCAATCCCCCGATCGTCCAAGTGGTTGGGCACCATTCTTCTCTCCCCCCCCCCCTCGTCCCATCCCAAATCCGTATCCTGATCCCTTCCAAGTGCTATATAGTCTTAATGGCTTGGCACTTCTGATAATTTTTATTTCCTTCTATTTTGCCCAAACTCTTAAGGTACAAGAGCTTCTCGTGTCTATTGCTTGTATCTTATCCATGATCCCTTGTTCTATTGGTATCTATTGTGTGTCTGTATTTACTATATGTGGCTGCACAATCTAGCTCTTGGACCCCGCCTTTCTAACCAACTCTTGTTTTTCATCTATTATATCTACTACATATATTTATCTCTAACACACACACACACACACACACACACACACACACACACACACACACACACACACACACACACACACACACACACACACATCCCCAGGAAGCAGCCCGTAGCAGCTGTCTAACACCCATGTACCTATTTACTGCTAGGTGAACAGGGACATCAGGGTGACAAAAAACTGCTATTTTTTTAATATAGCAGTTATACAAAGCCAAATATCCATCTCTGCCACTGATATCTGTCTTGAACAGACCAGGATTGGTCTTACATATGTGGAATGCAAGGTAATAAATACATATGAGGAATACATATGAGGTAGTAAATGATTCCTTACACAAGTTTCTAAAAGCAGTGCTGATGCTAGCCAGTCTAGTCGCTGGTGAGAGCCTTTTGATGTGGGCTTCAAGAAACAGGTTCAGTGTAGTATCATCTTCTAGATCTTTCTCTTTGTCTGTGTCGTGAAGGACTTCGTCTTCCCCTTTCGGGACCCTGGGTCTGGCCTCTTGTTCCCTCCTCCTAGTTTCATTACCTTACATTTACTTGGGTAGAACTTTAGTAGCCATTTGTTGGATCATTTATTCAGTTTGTCTAGGTCATCTTGTAGCCTCTTGCTATCTTCCTCCGTCTTAATCCTCCTCGTAATTTTTGCATCGGCAAACATTGAGAGGAACGAGTCGATACCCTCTGGGAGATCATTTACATATATCAGAAACAGTATAGGTCCAAGGACTGACCCCTGCGGGACTCCACTGGTGACGTTTCACCACTCCGAGACCTCACCCCTCACAGTGACTCGCTGTCTTCTGTTGCTTAGGTACTCCTTTATCCAGTGGAGTACCTTCCCTTTCACTCTTGAAAAAGATGCACATGCTGCATCTCCAGCTTATGCACTTGTCTCTTACGGTGGTACTGTGTCAAAGGCTTTCTGGTAATCTAAAAATATGCAGTCTGCCCACCCCCTCTCTTTGTCTAATTGTGAGTGGTAGTGGAGGTGTGTATTCACCTAGTTGTACTTGCGGGGGTTGAGCTCTGCTCTTTCGGCCCGCCTCTCAACTGTCAATCAACCGTTACTAACTACTATTTTTTTCGCACACACACACACATCCCCAGGAAGCAGCCCGTAGCAGCTGTCTATCTCCCAGGTACCTATTTACTGCTAGGTAACAGAAGCATTAGGGTGAAGGAAACTTTGCCCATTTGTTTTTTCGCCGGCTGCCGGGATCGAACCCGGGTCCCTAGGTCCACGAGTTTAGAGCGCTGTGTGTTGTGTGTGTGTGTGTGTGTGTGTGTGTGTGTGTGTGTGTGTGTGTGTGTGTGTGTGTGTGTGTGTGTGTGTGTGTGTACGTACACACCTACTTGTGCTTCCGAGGGCTGGCTTAGGCTCTTTTGTGCTGCCTGTCAACCGTCAATCAACTAGTGTACAGGTTCCTGAGCTAAGGGTACTAGGGGTACCCCTAGAAATACTAGGGGTACCCCTAGACTTGGAATGGTTGGTAGAACGAAGGCCTTGCTTTTTTACAAGAACGGCGTTCGAATTTTGATGTTTCAAGTGCTTGGGCAGATCCTTGTCCTCGTATCCCAGCTCTTTGTCCTCGTATCCCAGCTCTTTGACTTCGTATCGCAACTCAATGTCCTCGTATCCCAGCTCTTTGTCCTCGTATCCCAGCTCTTTGTCCTCGTATCCCAGCTCTTTGACCTCGTATCCCAGCTCTTTGACCTCGTATCCCAGCTTTGTCCTCGTATCCCAGCTTCTTTTCCTCATACCTCAGCTCTCTATCCTCGTATCCCAGCTCCTGGTCCTCACACTCCCTCCCTAGTGCTATATTGTCATACTGACTTCAACTCATAATTATCTTATTCACTGCAAGGGGGTCGAGGCAGTGCTTCCGCTGCTTCGTTTAGTACACAGGTTGAGTCCTTGTCTTGGATTTTGTGGCGATCACTGTAACAAACTAGGCTGGTTGTAAGAATTATTCCAGAAGGTTCCAGAAGTTTCGTGTAGGGACCTGACCTCAACAACGCACATTCCTCTGGGGATTAGCAGGTCTGAGTCACAAATGGCGGGCGTCTCTGTTCATAGTTGCATATAATGAACCAGTGGCTATATATTATTGTATTGGGACCCCCAAAGAGAGAAGGGGGTTCTCTCCATAAAAATCTACCACTTACGGGTTATTCATGCCCGTGCCCCATTCCTCCAGCTCCCCTTCTTCATCACCTCTTGCCTTTCCGCTCTCTCTCTTCCTTCTCACCCCCTTCATTCTTCCGCTACATCTCTTCCCCCCCCCCTATCCCCTTTCCCCCCCACCCCATGAAAACAGCTGACGTGGACCTCCTAAATCTTACAAGGGGACTGGGGGAGGGGGAGGGATGAGATTATCCCTTACGGGTAATTCGTAATTCAGAGGGAGGGGGAGGGGGGAGGGGGGGAGGTGGGAGGGGGGGAGGGGGGAGGGGAGTTGTAGTAAATGTCGTATTAACAGTAAATGTGACAGCAGCTGCTGTAGGTTTCGTGCGCCTCGGTGTCTGCGTGCGTGCGTGTCTGCGTGCGTCTCTGGGTGGGTGTCTGCGTGCGTGCGTGCGGGGCGGGGGTGCCAGGGGGAAGGCGGCACCTGTGTCCGTGGACGTTCAGCCGTGACAGTATGACAGTATGACAGTATGACAGTTTGACAGTATGACAGTATGACACGGCCTAATGTGTTGACAGTCGTGGACACCATTTTATTGAAGGGTTGAGAGGCAGCTGCCGCCACGGAGCTGTGAGGGAGCACAGCTGAGCCACAGACACGTAAAACAGATAAAATAATAGAAAATGCGAGGAAAAGTCGCACTCGATAATGAAAAAGGTGGGGACCCAAGAGCTACGACTCCCTGCCAGTGTAAGCACTAACAAGCAGGAGTTTTAATAGCTCACTCCTGCACACACACTCCTGTTAGGGAAGGACCGTTAGGTGAGTACCAAGGTGGTTGGGCTATAGACCCCATCAAATAGCCTTGTCAAGCAATTATAGCCGAGTTGTTAGAACCTTAACCACTGCCCCATCCTGTCCTTGACAATGGCAGGAGACCCTAACACCTCCGCCCTACTGCACTACCCAGATTTCTTCCCATATTTCCCACTATGTATATTCTGGATCCCAACTCTGATTAATCTTCCCAATCCTTCACAAGTCACTCTTTCCGTTCCAATC